GATCGACTGGATCATGAAGACCTCAACATCTGAAGGGAAACGCGGGATACAGTGGACATCTAGGATGCAACTGGACGATCTAGACTTCGCAGATAATCTGGCCCTTCTATCGCAATCTCGACAACAAATGCAAGAGAAAACGACCAGTGTAGCAGCAGCAGCCTCAGCAGCAGTAGGTCTCAATATACACAAAGGGAAAAGCAAGATTCTCCGACACAACAAAACATGCACCAATCCAGTCACACTTGACGGAGAAGATTTGAAAGATGTAAAAACATTTACATATTTGGGCAGTATCAATGATGAACATGGTGGATCTGGTGCAGATGTGAAAGCGCGGATCGGTAAAGCAAGAACAGCATATTTACAACTGAAGAACATCTGGAACTCAAACCAACTGTCTATCAACCAACACCAAGGTCAGGATTTTCAATACAATTGTCAAGACAGTTCTACTGTATGGGACGGAAACCTGGAGAACCACGAAAGCCATCATCCAGAAAATACAGGTGTTTATTAACAATTGTCTACACCAAATACTTCGGATCCGTTGGCCAGACGCTATCAGCAACAACCTACTGTGGGAGAGAACAAACCAGATTTCAGCAGAGGGAGACATCAGGAAGAAGCGCTGGAAGTGGATAGGACACACATTGAGGAGAGCACCCAACTGCGTCACAAGACAAGCCCTCACATGGAATCCTGAAGGTCAAAGGAAAAGAGGAAGACCAAAGAACACATTACGCCGGGAAATGGAGATAGACATGAGAAAAATGAACAAGAATTGGATGGAATTAGAAAAGAAGGCCCAGGACAGAGTGGGTTGGAGAATGCTGGTCGGCGAAATATACTCCATTAGGAGTAACTGGAGTTAGTAAGTAAGATTGTTCAACTATAACGCAGTGCCACGATTCGGTTAATGGATGATCTTTTCGTACGAAATTAAGCTTGTTGATCTCGAAGTTAGGCGTCTACTGAATCTTACATTCGGTTAAGCAACACTATTGAAAACGTTTTCTGGTACTGATGGTAGCTATAAGTTTCTATAGTTCTCGTACTTACTAAGATTTACGTTTTTAGACACCTTAATGAGGTATACCTATTTCTATTCAGTCGGGACTTGTTCTTTATCCTGAGTCTTTCTTCAGAGAACATGGAGCATCTTTTCAGTTACCTCTCTGTTTGAATTCAGTGCTTCGGCTGGCATGGTGTCGGATCCTGCTGCTTTACCATTGTTGATTTTGCTAACGACTTTACTGAATTCTTCGATTGCTGGTACGATAACATCTATAGGGAAGTTTGTGTATATTATTTATTTTATTTACTTGAACACATATATATTGGCACAGGAGTGCGCCAAATATATATGCGCCACACAAAACAATGGGAATTTAAGAAAAAAAGTGGGGAACGTACAAAAAAAACATTAAACGAAGAGATTGGTGTAAGGTAGTGTAATAATAATAGTAATAGTAGGGGAACAGAAGGGTACAATCAGAAGAAATCTTTCAGTTAAGGAAGATACAACCACGTTTTATGAAGAAAGTAAAAGTAGGTTACAGCAGGATCACCACTGGCTTCTATTCTGAGCCATATCTGATAACGTCTCTAGCCACTGTGTTGCACCATCTCTCGGACCCTAACCAGGGAGTCGTGAAGGACCGACACAAGCCAGCCCTTTGCAGCTTTCTTTCATCTCACGACACCATTTCATACACCGACCACCTCTCCACTTTTCCAACCAGTCCCGGCGTCGGCAAATAATGCACGACGTGGAATTCTCTGGAACGACATTCGTAGAACATGTCCAAGCCACCGAAGTCGGTGTTTCAAGATGGTGACACCAATTGCATTATCATCTCTGTGCCCGAACACACGATGCCGAACCTCTGCATTACTAACATGGTGTTGCCACCGGATGTCAGCAATCCTTCGGAGACAGCGATGATCGAACACAGAGAATCGTCTAACGTCCTCAACTCGGAGATACCAGGTTTCACAAGCATAGAGCAAAACTGCTCTCACCGACGCGTTGTAGATCCGACCTTTCACAGCCAGACTAACATCACGAAGGCGCCAAAGATGGCCCAGATTGGCATAAGCCGCTCTGGCTTTCACTATACGTGCATTAATCTCATCACTCACACCCCCACCAGCACTTATGCAGCTACCCAGATACACGAACTTCTCGACTATTTCTATCTGCTCACCATCCAGGGTGAGTACAGGATTAGGATCCTGCCAGTCTTGTAGAAGTACTTTGCACTTCGAAGGTGCAAAGCACATACCATACCTACGGACACTGATTGCCAACTGATTAAGTGCGGATTGCATGCTTTGGGCATTATCGCACAGTAAGACTATCGTCCGCATTCTCAAGGTCGAGAAGTCCTTCTCCAGGCAACAGATCCACACCACCATTACTTACATCCATCAGAGCTGTTTCCAGAATGTCGTCGATGGCAAAGTTGAAGAGGAATGGTGAGATTGGGCAACCCTGCCTAACCCCACTGCTCGAATAGAACAATAGAGAAAGGTGGTTGTATGCTACTTCGTAGAACTCCACCCACTTGTACCTGTCCTTTAAATCTTCACTGATTAATTTTCCTCCTTTATTTTTGACTAGTTGCTCTGGGTTACTGTATTTTTCTGCTAGCTTTATTGTACAATATAGCTCTTTCTTATTCCTTTTTTTTGTTAGGCCTTCCCCATATTTCCGCACTTTAGCTCTTCTTCACTTGTTTGTTTGCTTCAGTATATTCAACCTGTAATTTATTTTTGGTATTTCTGACTTTGCTTTCCTACTTCTTGGCTCTTAAATCTTCCTCAGACCATCAACAGAGATTCATTCTTTATGCTTTTGTCCTTTTGGGCTTAGTGCCCACCGAAATATTCAAGTTAGTGCCGCTATAATCTTTTTCAAGTTGTGTTATGTAGTGATTTCCTCATTTAGTAGATCTTGAAAGACTTGGAACTTGTTGTCGAGAGCAATCTTGAACTCAATGAGCTTATTGCTATCTCAACGGATATATATATATATATAAACAGGTCCAAGGAACTACCCATAATTTAATCTTCTTTTGAGATAAGTTAGTGTGGGGCATATTAGTCGTTATTTGTTTATGAAGATTTCAATGTGTGAATATCGTTTACACAAGACGAATTCGACAGAAACTATCAATTAGGTCTCACTATGTTCAATATATAACTCTGCCTGGAGCCCCTCTGGGGGTACTGCAGGTCTCAAACACAAATAAAGCAGGAGGGTTGGTCCTGGGGTTAGCGACGCCATCCCGTAGAGAACTAACTCGCTAAAAACCGCTAACCAGAAAAAATAATTCAAAACATTTGAACTCTACCCTGGGATTTGGGTCTTCATTTGGAAGAGCTATGAAATCTCATGATGGAAACCGAGTTTCATCGGAAGTCACGAGGCCGATGCCCCTTCTGACAACCAGAGCAAACAATTAATTTAGGTACATGGAATGTTCGTACAATGCAGGAGACTGGGAGAGTCATCAAAGTTGCTGCAAAATGAAAACATACAAACTGAAGGTGCACGAAATCAGTGAAACACACTGGAAGCAGGTTGGACAAGGACTAGCTTCAGAGGAGCTTCTGTTAAGCTCCGGCCATGAAGAAAATGCTCCACATACACAAGGAGTTGCACTGACGCTATCAAAACAAGTACAAAAGCATTTATAGGACGGAAATCTCATGGACCAAGGATCATCGGAGTCTCCTTCAAAATGAACGATAGGCTGCAGTCAGTCGTCGAGAAGTGCCTAACAAAGGACTTGACTATTTTGGTGGGAGACCTGAATGCCAAGGTTGAAATGGACAACATCGGATATGAAGACATCATGGGACGACACGGACTGGGAGAAAGAAACGAAAATAGTGACAGATTTGCAAATCTATGTGCCTTCAATAAATTGGTCATAGGCGGCACTGTATTCCTACATAAACGCATTCACAAAATCACATGGACTTCACCAGATCACAGTACACAGAACCAAATCGACCATATCTGCATCAATAAAAAGTTCAGGAGGACGTGAGAAACAAAAAAGCTGATATAGCATCAGATCATCACTTGCTGGTCGCCAAGACGAAATTGAAATTCAAGAACTACTGGACAACAGTGCGGACAACATCACAATAGTTTAATACGGCTTTTCTTCGAGATACTGACAAACTCAACAAATTCAAGATAGTCCTCAGCGATAGGTTCCAGGCCTTTCATGATCGAATCAATGGAGAGGGAACTACCACGGAGAGCAACTGGAAGGGGATCAAAGAGGCAATCACTCCATGTCATGAGGTTTTGGGCTACAAGGAACGGATCACTGTTGATACACTGGATAAGATTCATGAAAGGAGGAACAAGAAGGCAGCAATCAATACCAGCCGAACAAGAGCAGAGAAAGCCAAGGCACAAGCTGAATACACAGAAGTAAACAAGCAAGTGAAGGGGGGAATCAGAAATGACAAACGTAAATATGTGGAGGATCTATCAATGACGGCGGATAAGGTTGCAAATGAAGGAAACATGAGATAATTGTATGACACAACAAGGAAGCTCGTCGGAGAGCAAAGTAATCACATCGAAACAGGTGGGTAGAACACTTCAATGAACTCTTGAATCGACCAGTTCCACTGAACCCACCCAACATCGAAACGGCACACACGGACTTCTCAATTAATGTTGGCCCACCAACATTATAATGCATTATAATCATAAATACTTTTGTCGACCTGTGATAAACATTAGCTAAAATTAATTTGAAATATAATACGACATTGAATCATTACATGGACTACTAAAGGTTCTATAAGTCTGTGAGAGTGAGACAGAACTGTTCATCCACAATACTATGGTATTTGAAGGTCGAATTTACAAAATTACTTACATGCAATTATCAAAACAACTCTCAAGAGGAAGGTAATATATCTGAAGATTGACCTCTGCAATGATGTTGAGAAACAATAAAAAGTTAAAATGTGCAATAGCTATGTATTTAAACGATTTATTACCAGACAAAAGCCAAATTTAACCTGACATTTTGTAAGGAAAAATAACATCATTTTACATTGTAACTGTTATTATTTATGCATTAAGGATTTATGTTTCAAAAAACATAATAAGTTTTAGAATAAAGAATGTACTGTAGTATTATCACATAGGTAAAAAAAATGTGTACACAAAAATTTAAACACAAAGTTCAAACAGTGGAAACCACATATTGAAAAAAATGCTCTGAATATATTGGTTAGGGGTAAATATTAATTTATCCCACATAACCCATGGGAATACTAATAAATTTCAAAAACTTCCTGATAGTGAGTCGCATTAGATTACTGTGTTGTTTAAAATTACTGGAAACTGTTTAATGATACGTTTAGAAAGAAAATTAATTAAATACAAAATGAACAAGGTATCTTTAACAATTAGAACATTAGTCACCCAACTGGTTGCAGTGGGAATATAATAATTAATATAGAACTCAAACAGAAGTAGGTTGAATAGGAAAATCGGAGGATAAATTTGAAGGCACAGAAGCTGATGTAGAAGGAAGTCTTTTGCGATAACCAAAAAATCCATCAGGAACTTCAAACTGATAAAAAAAACAAAAAAAGAAAACTTATTAATTGTGCAGTTTAGTGGAAAAGGCTTCGTTTATTTGCTTCTATACAACAAACAGTACTCTTCGCTAACCTTAACCAAGTATGTGAGCTACAACTCAGCAGCAAACTTGTTTTGGAAAATTAATTTGACAAAATTCAGATGTCATAATGATTGTTTCTTTGTGAATAGCTAACTCTTTACTCTGGAAGCTCTATTGCATAGTAAAAACATGTTTGTACGTTAAAACAGCTGGACAGAAATGATAACTAATTAAGCAGTGTTATACAGTTAAAAACAGAACATAAAAAGTTTAGAAACAAGTAAATTCACTTAGTACAAGATTTTTTAACGACTTGAAGACTAGGTTATACTAAATGAAAATGTCAAACTGTAAACATCTTACATTGACACGAAAGTCTTCAATAGTCCTGTATTTCTGCAGTAGCTCTTTTAGTGCATGATTGACTTCTACTTTGCGTCCACTATAGTGCAAGAAAGCCCAAAATTTTTCCAACCCATATAGATGTCCATTTTTGTAGTCTCTCAAGGCTTGTTCCTATGGGGTAAATAAAAACTACAGGTTAGCAAGTGGAAAGTGAAGAGTGCAAATGTTCAAGAAACGTATTATTTGCATAAGTGAATGTGTGAATTAGAGGACATTACTTGTACACGAGGCGTAATGTGGTTGAGCTGGTTATGACATAAATTTATTTTGAAATATATGTATGATGTGACAGTAACATTAAATAGTTTCTTTATGAAGTTGAAGCATTGTTCAAAATCATAAAAAGGTAAAAACGGGATATGTAAACAGAGGAAACTGCACTACAAAATTTACCTGGAAGTCCTTATAAAGAGACCATTTGAAACGACGTTCCAAACCATACGAGTAAAATCGAAACAAGCATTCCAATCCATATCGATAACCAGACGCTTCATCTTCGAGAGCCAAACGTTTGAATTCCTTGTACATACCATGGAAGAAGTTGTCTCGTAAAAAGAATGACCAAAACCTATACAATGTGTTCATTTCTTGTGACTGTCCTGCGCCTGATTTTTCACGATCTAACAGACAAGCAGCACGATATCGGAAATACTCACGAGATGCTAAGCCGCTATCTCGAAGGTATGATTGACTCATATGATTTCCAAAAGTATAAGGAGTTTGTTTATGAACAGAAAACTGGGACTGGTTAGTTTTCACAAGTTCATTTGGCACGAAATTCGGCTTATTATCTTCGTCAGTTGCATGTTCGGTAGTTATGATCACAGTAGTTCCAGATGTACTAACATCGCTAACGAAAAAAAAAAGCTTTTAAACGAAGCGTAAACGTTACGTCAGATGAATGAGGGCAGCGCTTATTCATATTATTCACAATTAAAATGATTTGTGCGAAAGTGGTTTTGAGAGTAACAGACAATATAACAAAGTTAATCCATTATTACTACTATGATTGAAGATAGCCTTGGGGTGTGAAACAAATGAGTAACCGAGACTGTAGTGGTTGTGAAACACGCAATAAAAGTACTCAGGAAAATGTATTTATTATGGACAATTGTACTTGCAATATTGAAAAATTAAGCAATATTACGTAAGTCACTTCCGTTGGAAATATGACTTTCCACTTGCGAAGATAAAGATGTGTGATTTAACGACTGCATATATTCCTGTACTGAACTTCGAACTCAGCCTTTTGTAGAGCTATATGATACATTATACGGTCGAAAAGTTGGTGGATAGACAACTGTCTGGCAACTGAATTAAAACGAGTACCCAAGTCAATGAGGTACAAAAAATGTAAATATGCTTAAAAATTATTTAACGCCTGCACTAGAAGTGTCTACGTTTAGGATAACTGAAGTCACTGAGAATGATGAAAGACGAGGCTTAACATGGAAATACAAGTACATTTGCATTTATACGTCTAAAAAAGAAGCTGATATACGTATTATTTGATACTAGATATTTTGTTTAAAATAAACTGGTTTTGTGCAATATTGCTTTCAGGAGTTAAATAATGAGAAAACAAGTGAATAATATGATGGACTGATAATTTTACGTGTAAAAATGGTTTGCCGATAAGTCATATATCAGATTTACATTTGCTTTTAATAGAAAAAATAGCTTGTTTCGCAGTTGTCTATAAGTCAAGATGGTAAACAGACCGTCAATCATTTACACACGTTGACAATTTTTATTTGTTAGTATGTATTCTACAAAAGAGGCTGAGTCAAATAACAAATATTAAGTACGTTTCTTTTCGAAAATTCGTTAGAAAACTAAACGTTCTATAGAAAAGGGTTGAATAATGGCAAAGAAAAGACGGTCTAAATTATTGAGATGTTACCTAAGACTGATTTTCCGAAATTATATTGAGGGTTAAGTATATATAAAAAATGAATTATTCGTTGGGAAACGTTACTCACATACCTTGCCATAGATATTAGTGTCTTTGGAGTTCGATTACGACTGTCTTCAAGTGTAGCATGTGGAGTAGCACTGGAGGTCTGACCTCTTGTGGTTCTAGCTGAAGGTCGGGCAGAAAGATCAAACGCGAATCCGACGTCTAATTCATCTCGTTTTCGAGTACCAGTAGATCCTACTTTTGCGGGATAAAAGCCGGTCATACGACGCTTTGCGGTATGTTTGTTTTTAGGTTTGTCAGTTACCGCAGATTTTTGAGAGGCGGATGCTACAGCAGCCCTGGAAACTTCAGCAACGAGTGCTGCCACCGCGTTTTCTGCTTCCAACTGCTGTTCAACTTGACTGGGTGTTAATGACCCCATGTCTAACGAACACGGAAGTACTTCAGAATTGTAAAGTGGTAGAATAGGATATGAGGGAATCCATGAGGAACTAGCAACCAAGTGTGATGGTTCAGGGGGTAACACGTTAGGAAAATAAAAAGGAAATGTTGGGTAGGAATTTTCGACAGACTGAGTTTTGGTTCTTTCTAATCGAGCCGAATTTAAGTGTGGGTCTTCTGATATGTTGACATTTTCATGAGAAACATAGACTGGTCGCTCGGTTGAACCGGAAGCAGCAGCTTCTTTAAGGCTGACAAAATCTTCTGGTGAAACAAGATTGATCTGTTGAGACGAATAAACAGGAAAAATTAATCCATTTAGTTAAATAAACTATACATAGGTTAACAACCATATAAACGTTAGTAGCATAGTTTTTAGCACGTTAATGGATATTACTCTTGAGAATGAGGTGTATGATCAGGCTATTCTTTAGCGTTGCTGTACTTTTTAATTCCAGTCAACTATGCAGGAGAGCACTGTTGGACAGAAAAAGTTTCATTTGTATGAATGCCCGAACGTGACTTTAAAAGATGGTCGCAAAAATGGTATATATATATATATATATATATATATATATATATATATATATATATATCACTCATGACAAGATTGCATATCATAATGATATGTGAAGTACCAAGATAAAATTTTAGTTAGTGATCAACTATAAACGAAAAGTGAGATTATTTTTACATTAGGCATTGACGTCCAGAAATCCTTGAGGACATATCAAAATTTTTGAGTAAACGAGCGAAAACAGATGTGATTGATAATATACGGTTTACTTCATTTGACCGTTAAATTCCATAACACAAAACATGCTAGTGTTTGTAGACGTATTAAAGTAATAAAGCTGATGAAAACTTTCAGAAACTTGTAAAAAGTAGATATGATGAAATGACTTGATTCTGTTGAATTAAATGGACTTACTTTTTCCAAGCGAGTAAGAGACTGACTGGATGACTTATCAGATAAAAGTGAGATATTCGGTTCTTCAACATCATCTTCAAAACCAAGTTCACAAATAGAAGTGTAACGTTCGCGCTTCACGTTTTGTTCATAATCCTCAAGTCCCAGTCGAATTCTTTGCAGCATATCTGCATGAATCTTGGCACTAAACGAGTAAAAAATGTGTCAACTAAGTAGAGAAATATTATCATCTAGAAAGCAAACGACAAGACTGCAAAATAATGTGGTGATTGGAGGCAGTTGGCAGAAAATTTTGGGTCTTGATTTCGTGCTAATTGGCACTGGTCAGTAAGATGTGACTGTAATCTTGAGAACGTATGTTTCCTGATGCACTCGATTCTGTCTCACCCAGCTTCATAGTCAAAAATCTTACTACTGAACTATTTAAGCAGCGACTAACGTTTTGTGGAAATGATATATTTACGATTGACTGACTAGGGTTACTACTACTGAGTGACCATTCCATTATACAATGCAAACTTCAGTTCAGTCATTAATTAACCCCTCGGAGACTAAACATTTACTTTTGATCTTTCTTTTCATGAATAGCAGACTGTTGCAGATTAAAAATACGTCTTTATCAACGATCAGATTTTCTGTGAGGTGAATACCAACTTGCGGAGCTACCTTAACAATTAATGACACTATTTGGATTCCTCCAGAAAATTATGTGCAGCGAGGCTCTAACCTGAGAATTGATGATCGGAAGGTGAACGCATTAATGACCTGAAAACTGAACCAGTCTCGTGTATACTTTACTCGAAACCAAACATTTCTGATTCCCATGTACGTGATTGATAATTAAAGTTAAAGAATTATGGTAAAGCTACTTTACTGTGGTTCATGTTCTGAAAGTAACCATGGAAACATGATGTTTAAGCATCGTATACCTTTAGTATATTTGCATTATCGTTAGAAGTAGAATTCAGGACGTTCTTTTCGTCAGGACCTGTCAACAGAATGCACAGAGATTCCGGTTTTGATATCTGTATCGAGACTATACCAACCGATGAGTAGCAAATACCAAATAAAAGCGCACATCCCGGATTCTACTACTGGCTACAATTTAATTATGCTTGTAAGACGGTATTTGCTCAGGATTCACATACTTCAACAAAGAATGACTGGAATTCAGTTGTAAGTAACAACCGGAAAATACAAACTTTAAAATAATCGTTTATTATTATTTTGTAGTAAAATCTGATGTAAAACTAGAAATATTGCTAATTTTTGGAGTGTGTACAAAAAAGGTTGCTTTCTTCATATGGACAGCATTGGTCAGTGATAAAACCTGGTTAAACGTTCATGTGGCGCATAGAAAAGTACACATATATTCACATGACTAGTACATAATGAGAAGTGACAAGAAATAATTACTTCAAATCAGTAAGTGAGCTTAAAATAGGCCGGAAACATATCGCTAATATTTATAGCAAACATGAGACATGAATTAAAATAAACATTATTATACTAAGTGAAACTACTATTTTAGAATTAATACCATATTTATCGTTACTCCACAACAGATATCGTAATAACCTTTGAACAAGTACTATTATCTGACTTTACGACATAAATAGACTAGAGGTCGAAAATGTTAGCAGAGTAACAAAACATGTACATAAAAAACAAATTAGTTACCGAGACTGATAATCTGGATTGGGGTGGCGATCACCAGATGGGTGTTTAGCCAAAAGGCGGGAAGAATTGGCAGCATGTTCAGAAGATGTGTATCCACTATGTATTGTTTGACTCTTGTCAATTGTAATATTACAAGGTGTAGTATTCAATGGACCGGATTCGAAATCAGCTTTTTCAATCCACGATTCAGATGTTCGAGATGGCTTTGATACATGTGCTTTCGCGCTGAGAGTGCTTTGATCAGAAGCGCGTCCACCCGCTCTTTCAGGGACAATAACAATTAGATAATTCAAGAGGTCATCTTCATCAATATCACTGAACTCAGAACACGAAGATTCGTTCCTTTGACGATGACTAGTCTAAAAATTTAGGAATACGCATGAATAAATAAGCATGCCTTGAACTACTATTACTGGTTATTCAAGTTCCACTGTTAAGAAAGATTGCTTAGGACTATATAGTCATTAGGAATAACTAGATAAACCTAAAATTGCCCGATATCATTGGTGAGACATTTGATAATTTAAATTGGCGTATCATGACAACGCACGAAGAAATCTGATTCCGATATGTTCGAGCTGTACAGACTTTCGACAAAATTGTTTATCAAGAAGAGGTTTAGGTGCTGAGATTTGGATCACGTTCAATGTCAGGACTAATGATACTACCTGACGGCTGAGAGTTAGCATAGTTTGACTAAAATTATGAATGGTTATTTTTCACAAGCCTAAAAAGCCAATATGACCAAGCCTTGAAATAGACCGATATTGAGTTAAGAATTACATGTTACCAGGGTAAGTGGAAAGAAAATACTAAGAAAAAACTATGTTCATGACCATAACGTTTGCGACAAGTACATCGTGTATAAATTGCGCTACAATGAAATCTTAGTTGTTCCGGAAGATTTTAAGGTCCCTGATCAGAGTATAAACACGATACTAAAGTGGACAACAGTTGAATGGAATATTACACAGAACGATTTCTTACGCTTACTGAATGTGTTAAATTACAGCTACTAAACCACTGGAGTTGAAGCTTTCCTAGCATCAGACTGCCAAGATGGAACTGGATCCAGGGAAGTATGAATAGTGGATTTAACAAAAACTCATAATCAAAAACAAGATAGAAAAGTGATGTTTAGTATTCTTAATTTTAAATAGAAATCTTATCAAAAACCATTCGCGTTTGTAAAATTACGCTTATCTGTGAAGTATATTTCTTGGATGAAGTATTACTTTCTACTTACGTTCACTAATATTATTGTCTCTCTATCTCTTCCTTTCTGACTATCCGATAGCTCTTACTGTTGAATGCTAACAGTTTGGAATAAAAATAATGCGTTCCGTCAACATGGATGATTAATTTGACACAGCCAAATTTGAGTAGGGATTAAGACCGATTTTGTGATGAAATTTGTAGACGTAAATATTGCAAACATATAGTATGATTTTCATATCAGGCTTAAAACACTAAGCGACTATACTCATGGAGCATAAGGCTTGTGGTCCGTTGCCCATAACGTTTCAGTTTCACTACAACTGATTATTTCGATAACAGAACACAAACCTTTTTTCGAACATAAGGAACTAGAGAGATGAAGTTATCTGACAGTTTAGTATGTATACGTTGGAAGACAAGCCGTAATATCTAGTTGACCACGTTCATTTGATTTACAAAAAATTGTCGGTACCATACAGCATCAAAAAGACAAGCCACATCCAGTTTATGTTAAATACAAGCCCCATGAAATCTCAATTGAAAGCAATTATTTCTACCGTATCCATTCACTATTGTCTGTTATTAAACTGATCTTATCTTCATATATTATGTACCAAGAAACTAACAATCGTTGAAGAATAAACTCTATTAAAAATTAAAAAACTAGGTGACTATTTCGACCAGACTTACTTTGAATAAGCATTGTGACATCGAAGAGAGACTTTTAGGTTTTTAAAACGGACAGGAAAACCAATTTTTGACTAGGAACAACACAATTTTTTTTCTAAAGTTAGTCTTGAATTAGCCATTATTATATCTAAATAACTGTTCTACAATTCTTAAAGAATACAATGGCTTGTTTGCATTCAAACCTTGTATTGCTAAAACTATGTACAAATCATGAATAGTATGTATGTGTATGGGAACGCCAAGCTTTGACAAGGATTTATTAATACATCTTGGAAAATTTGCATTCTTACCGTTGTGACAGGGATATTTGAATTGGATGAAGGCAGAGTCTTGAGACGACTACGTTGACGACGTTCCACCTTCAGCCAATTAACATCGTTCATTTCTCCCGCGATGGTGGATGTTGAGTTTGTCACTTCCATACTAACAGTATCTGAAGGAGGTGCATCAGATGTGTATGTCGAGGAACTCAGTGTAGTGGCCGAGGTGGAAATGGGAGCATGTTGAGTGAAAACTGTAGATTCTATGTTTTGAACATATTTAAACTACACTCAACTTACCGACTGACAGACCATAACTTTCAGAAACGGCTAGCCGACGTCTTATAAGTCCTCTACCAGCATCAATTTCTACAACACTGCTGTTACAACAAGCCTAAACTGTAATAAAATAATGAGATTGGTGTTACCTGGATAATAAGGTTTTTCGAAGCATCTAACTGCTTCATCCTGGGAAAGTTTAATATAACTTCTAAAGGCACATATCCATCAACAGTCATTTTTTCTTGGAGGTATCGGTCGCGGGTGAAGTTCCTATCACCAAAGTAGTATTCTATTTGATTTCTGATCCTGGAAAGCCTCTCAGATACGCAGGCCACGCATTCACTTGTATCATTACTACATGGTTGGCTTTGAGAAATATGGTGTCGGTAGTGTGACAATACGCGAGGGTCTAAAATGAAATGCAACAACCATACACTTACTAAATCCTGGCCGAGGCACTAAGTAGCATAGCTCCACTCCGGCAAAATTTGGGTTGACGTATAGACACCATTGAGAGTTCGAGCAGTTGCTTTGAAACTTTCGGATTTTATCTAGATTTACACTCTTTATAGGTTCGGTGCATTCAGGAGCCTCGAATTTATCCACATCCTTCAAATCCTTATAGGCAGGATGCCCGATTTCTGGAGGAAGGTTGCTTTCTGAAGGTAACGAAGTTTGGATTTTCGAAAAAGTAAGCTGAACGGGCAGATCTTCCCACTTTTGTTTGGATTTAAGTCTAGTAACAAACTATTTAAAAATATAGGAATCATTAAGACATACTCTTTTATTACTTCCTGAGTTTTTGTTCAACTCATTTAAAGCTGGCCATTCGTTATCCACTATGTGCAGACCATTCAGAAGTCCTTCACTCATCGCAGCAGTTCCTAATAATTATTTCAAACACGAATTTGGCTTTGTGACCAATTCAGTATCATTAGTAAAAACGGCGTGACGACACGCCAACAACGTATTACGCGCTACTAGAACACGACCCCAAATCAGTTTCAAATTCAGTTTAGAAAGGACAGGAGGCTCGATGGCCTATGTTAGTCTTGGCAATGGTGGTCTCTCAGTTGGTCCAACTTTCTTTTGACAGAGTCGACGGACAGAGCCTCAACCATGTGCTGAGGAAATGAATTCGACTCGATGATTCGATGGGAAAGTCGATAGTCAACTGACAAATAATTTTTTCAGGGCTTGTGAACTTTTTTTGAGTGTCCTCGTAAATTATCTGTTTTGGAGGACAAGAAAAACGAAGGCATATCAGGTGCAAATTCATCACTAAGCCATTTGAAAACTGTGATCAAGTCGCCTCTAGTTCTACGATATGATAACAAAAAAAGGTTTACTAGTATGGGGGTTGTGGAGATTATTACATTTTTGATTGAGATCATGAACCGATTGATGTAAGACCACCACCTTCGGAAACCTGGTAGCACCGGATGGCCGTTTCGTCCCATTGTGGGACTCCTCAGCAGTGCAGGTTTAGCTTGGCCAGTCGAGCATCATACGGAAGCTTTGCTATTCCAGGAATCAGCTTAGTTTCTGTTCCCCGAACCTTTTCCAAAAGCTCACCGTCTTCTTTTATCAGGGGCTAGCCGCTTGTATGCAGTACTCAAGTTTAGGACATACGAACACTGCATACAAAGTCAAAAACGTTCTAGCGTCGATATGACTAAAAGCCCCACGTATTGACCATAAGGTTCTAAAATCTTTGGCGGCTATTGCAGGACAATGTGCATTAGTCTTTAAGTCTTGGTTAACTATGACTCCTAAGTCATTATGTGTCTGGACAATAGGTAGCTCAGTGTTATTCGTCGTGTATGCATCTGTACCTTGATGATCGATATGCATCACAACACACTTGGAAGTATTTATCGGCAACTGCCAGGTTTGAAACTATTCAGATAACTTCTTCAGGTCATTTTGAAGTTCTAAGCTATCACTCTTACATCGTATCGTCCTCCATATCTTGACATCGTCAGCATGTAGCAAGACCGATGATGATAGGAGACGAGAAAGGTCATTTACATACAAGAAGAATAGCACTGTCCCCAGAACTGTACTCTGGGGCACTCCATTAGGCACAGTTTCCCAGCTAGATAACTTTGAGTTCACCCTTACTCTTTGTTGACGCCCAACTAAGAAGTCTTTTATCCACATCAATAAATTGCCTCCAATCCCGACTTTTCTTAACTTATATAACAGCCGGTTGTGCGAAACTTTGTCAAAAGCTTAACTGAAATCAATGAAGGCGGCGTCTACAGGTAGCTTTTGGTCCTTAAGAGCGCACCAGCTTTCACGAGCCACTAATAAGTTAGTGAGACAAGAATAACCTATTCTGAAGCCGTGCTGCTTCTCCAAGAGGATCCAGTCTTTGTCGAGATACTTAAACAGCTCCTTCCGAATAATCTTTTCTAAGATTTTAACAAACAAACTAGTTAGGCTAACGGGTCGGTAATTCTCAGGTTTATGTTTCGTACCTGTTTTGAAGACAGTACTTATTATGGCGTTCTTTCAGTCTTTTGATAAACGACCCTGCGTTACGGATAGATTGAAGCATACACTTAAAGGGTTCGCAACGAAGTTAGGTAATTCCTTTAGTAGCCTAGGGTGCAATTAATTGGGCCCTGTGGATTTACCTATGTCAAGCTTATTTAGCAAACCAAAGACATCGAGTTCTTTAATGGTCACGCTATCCAGTGTATGTGTGGAGGGATTTGTATGCGCTGACGCGAAGTGTGCTTCTATGGTATATACATTGCTAAAGTAGTTCGAGAACACTTGAGCCTTACCAAAGTCGTCCTCCACTAGTGATGCGGCAGTACTGTCTCCCCATAGTGCAGGAATATTTCTTCTTTTTGTCCTTTGGTTTATATAGGAATACAAGCGTTTAGGACGTTCTATGGATTCCTTAACAATTTCTTCTTCGTACAACTTTCCAAACTTACGAAGGGTCCATGCACAGGTATTCCGAGCTTTTCGATACTGAGATTTTGTCTTATCAGCCCCCAGTAACCTAAATTTATCACACATTTTTCTTCTCTTACTGAGGAGGATGCGGACCTCCCTACTGAACCATGGTGGAGAGTTTCTCGACCCCCTTGGTGTAGTCCAGGGGATGTGGGATGCAGTAGCTTTCAAGTATAAATTTTGAAATGCGTCCCAAGCCATTTCAGTCGAGGACTCTGGGTCTATTGTACAATCTACTAACGATGCTGAGTGCATGATATCTGGAATGTTTGCTTTTCAGACGTTAGGTCTGGATTGAGCTAACGCGTGCTCGTGATTGACAGTTATATGGAAGTCAAAAGTTAAAACTGCGTGATCACTTCTACCTAGGGGTGGCATGTAATGACCTTTAAAGTCACAAATAGCAGCTGAATTAACCTGACCATCTCCCAATTCGATCTCTTTCCCTTGCAAAGCCTTTCTGGACTGTAAGGGTTTCGATTCATTTAAAATCATATATGACTAATACATGAAGGAACATAAGGGGTCTACTTTCATGGTTGGCTTTGCCACCAAGTCAAATCTATGTGTCTACTTGGAAATGCCATATGCATTGTCATTTGTGATTTGAAGCTAATGAAATTTTCCATGTTCCTCTTAAAAAATCAAAAAAATTTTAGGATTGATTATTGTGCGTCGGGCATTCGAAAAGATATGAGGTGGATAAATAAGTAGGTATTAGTCTGGCCGAATCAGTTCTTATGTACTAGGCTATCTGTAGGCCTGCTGAGAAGCACCGACGTTATTTTGATGGCACAGGTCCTACATTATATATTTGTAAATGGTTGTCACCCTGTTGACTGTGGGATATCTTTGTCAGACAATGTGTATTGGCTTCAAATATGTATCATCCTCTTCCTTTCATTGAGTACATCTCAGCGAGTTAATATTACAGATCAAAAGAGATAAAAGTTAATGCCCATAGATAGTTTGGCAGTTTTGATTGTAAATCTAACGGAATTATCGGGACAAAACCACCTGAGAAGTGATAGGAATAGATCCATGAGAGGTGATGGGTTTGTAGTGACTCACTTTTATCACGAGAACACGATTGGTTTATTGAAAACAATTATTATTATAACCAATTGTACCAGTGACTGTTTTAATGTGCTTTTGTTTAACTGTTCTAGAAAGCGTCCATTATTCACACACTTTGATTGTGACTTCGCGCGAATTCGGTTACGCTCTGTAACCAAGCTTGTATCGTGGCACGATCTCGGTATCCTTTCAATACCACGAGATCGCCAGCAGATATATCTCTACTTGGTCCATTAACTGCCTTCTGATATTTGGCTTCCGCGGGATTTTTTGGAGTCATTTGGCACGTGTTTCTCCGTAGCGGTGTTCATAGTCAATTTTGACTCGACTCCACGCTACAGGTTCTTACATACATAACGAATAATATAAATGTCCGTTCCCGTGTTTGTGAGCCTCGTGATGGTGGAGTTTGTGAAGTCATTTGCTGAGAACTCACTTCTGAAGGCTGTACATTTATAATCGGTGTCATCTACCATAGTCCACTCTGCTTGTTTGACGATTTCATTTTAGAGCACGTAACAGTATGAAATAAAAATAACGGGTATTTTGATGCATCTGCTGTTAGCTGGATAGAGGTGGCCCGAAAAATCTTTTAATGGTAGGCTCCTCATGACTGTTGAGACCGAGTATATTGTCTATCTAAATGTTCTCCCACCGTTAGCGAGCAGCGATCATGTTTTGTTATCCATGTTTAGGGCTAGTGACACAGTATATGATCAGAATGTACCCTGAGGAAATGTGTGGATGGCGTTGAAATGTTCTTGTCTCTGCTGGCTCCGAACAGTACTGATCCACGTATAGTTAGACCAAGTGCGCATGCGAAGCGTTGATAAATAAGGCCAGTGTCGTAATGGACAGTGTCCGATAGATAGATGACGTGTCATATGTTAACCTCCAACCGACCACTTGAGAGAGAACACAAGAGTGGAAGAGAAAGTATGTTAGGCTACCGAATAAAACGCAAAAATACTCATATTCATATATATATATATATATGACTCTACCCCATAGGAAATTAATTGATTCCCTAGCCAATGAAATGCACTCCCCCTTCAGGTTACTTCGGACTTCCATCGACTAGCCTCCTCATTAGGCTACTTCTGGTTGGCTTACCATATCAGTCAGACCATCGTATGAAAAACAATTGGTCAGGGATTGTGGAAACGGTTCGGAAAGGATGTATTTGTTCTCCACCACTTTTGGTACGGAAACACTCAATGAGATTAGCAAGAAATGATGTTGCAAAAGCTGAAGCCTTATCAGAATATTTTAGCAGTGTTTTTTGTCAACGGCGGTGGAGGACTAACAGTTAATCATAATGGTGACTGATCTAGCGGTTACTGAGAAAAGAGCTGTCTTACGAACACTTGAACATCTCATACCAGATAGGTCCAGTGACCCTTACTATACTCATCCTATGATTTTGAGAGCCCTGGCAGATGTAATCGCTAACTCATTGACATTACCGGTTGAAATGTCTTTACGGAAGTCCGAACTGTCAAGAGACAGGAAAGATACAATTGTCGGTCAGATTTATAAAGCAGGGAGTAGAGACTTAGCTGGTAACTATCGGCCATTTAGTTTAACCACTGTAGTCTTCAAACAATCGGAAGGATTATGCAGATAGCCATTCTGAGCAATATGATAGGGGATAATCTTTTAACCGGGGAACAATGTGGTTTTAAAAAAGACCATTCATGCTTGGTAAATCTCACTGAAATAGATTGGGCTGCAGCGAAAGATATTAATACTCTAGTAGTTACAGTTTTCATACATCTGAGTAAAGTTTTTGACTAAGACCCCCACACCTGGATCTTAAATCATATCTAGAACGTTTTGAGGTCTTTTGCGAAATCGCAAACTGCATAGAGGACAGAGGGTACGGGTAAATATGACTCTTGCAGTAAACAAAGTAGAATCATATATTAC